CAAGCACATAAAGAACTCCGCGTTTGGTTCTAAACTTAAGTCTTCGCGCTCTTATCTCAAGTCTTTCTTCTCCAAATCTGGCTGCTCGAACGAGTACTCTGCAGCTGCCTCAAGAAACATTGCAAAAGGGCCTTTTCCAATAGCTAAAGAAGCTAAGAAAGAGTCATTTGGGCAAATTCATAGAGGTGGTTCGAATTCAAAAGGAGTCAAAAAAGAAAATGATCGCGATCATCAAGAGATAAGAGGTAGACATAGAAGGTCATTCTCAGGAGCTATTAAAAGGTTTTCGACAGCTAAGTCATCTTCGTCTTCATTTTCATCGTCTACTTCTGGCTCATTGTCAGCTTCAAGCTCGAATAATTCGAATGAATTTCAAGAAATGCACTTTTTCAAGAGAAACAACAATTCATATTCAGATATTGAGAATTCAATTCAAGCAGCAATTGCTCATTGCAAAAACTCTCAGCATGCAAGAAAGACAATAAGTGATATTGGAGTTTGTTCATTGTCTGCTTCTAAAGTGATCACTAAAGAACAAGAAAGACCTGGACTCTGCAGGGGATAAATTTTTCCTTTTTTTTATTATAACTGTGGCTTACATGCACCTCGACTATTGCACGAGATACCTGTCACCTTCCACCAGCAACAGGTAGCTACATGTATAAGGAAACTCTGTCTACCAAGGCTAGGACAGACGGAAAGATCACATCACCTAGTTTTTTTTCTTGTAATTGTTATTTCTTTTACCAGAGGAAGTGAAATGGAAATAACTATTTTAAGTTATCTTATTATATGATTGTTTCTTTCTTTCACAATTTTGTGTAATAAGCCTTCCATGTAGATTAGCAATACTTGGATTTCACGGTAACAAAAACAACTTTTAGCGGCAATAAGTAGACACATTAATAAAGAATGCTAAAATCTTTATCGACATTAGTTATGTGTCATTAGATCCAATGTCGGTAAAGCCTTTAAAGACATATAGAAAGAGTGTTAATTGTTGCTTGTTAATTAATTGCCGCTAAATCTCATTTTCGATGTAGTGTTTCCAGAGCATAACTCAATTAAAAAATTTGTGATAAATTCTAAAGGAAGGTTTTTTTAGTACGTGTTACTTACCACTAGTACACGTATCGAATTACTCTGTCTATCAAACCTTAGACAATCAAAAGAAATCACCTAGTTTTGTTTGTCTTTACTGGAAGTTGAACCTTGAAATGAACTACTACATCCAAAGAGTCATTATCTCTAGGTGATCATTTACAAATGACAAATAGAGAATTGCTCATCATTAATAAGGAATTATTCTACCATCAAGAACCTATATTACTTGGACTCTTCAAAAAAGTCGTTAGACGTGTGTCAAATCCTCCAAAAGCTATCCATTTTGGAGGATCTGACACGAGTTTGACAATATTTTAAAAAACCGAGAAACATAGACAAGGACTACGAGGAGATGGATGGGATTTTTAGATTCCTCCAAATTTACCAAAGTCATTGGTTCGAGCTCGAAGAATGGAGAAACTTTATGTATTTAAGGCTTCCCCTTTAGACTGGCCCTACATGGCGATAATTCAAATTAGTCGGTCAAGTAAAAATTGAATACCAAATGATTAAAGAAAAATAATACTCTAAATGATGAACTAATAAAGAGCTATTTTGAGCATAATGCAAAAATTAAAATTAAAAATGATTACAAAGCTTCAACCCTAAGTTTAAGTAATAAATTTGCTAGTGCTATTAGTTTAATGTGTAAATTAATGAAGCTAATGATGATTTTATTTAGAATAATAATCAATGAAGGCAGAAAAAAGATAGTGGTTCAATGGTCCTTAAAGTACATCAATAATTATTTATTTTATCACATACATGATTCCCTTTATACTGGGTCACTTTGCTTAATTTGAGTTAAGTACATCAATAAATTTTTACATTATTGCCTTCACGTCACTAATTTTTTTTTGTAACAAATCAATTATTTAATTTTACTCAAGTATCATTGTGAGTTACTAAATTATTTTTTCGTCACAAATATTAAAAAATCGCTTTAACCCTTTTTCAATATCATAAAAAAGTCACTATCTAGGTTGAAGGGAAAAACTGAGTCATTTTTCGCTGTTTTGAAACAACCGTTAAAAGGAATTGGAGGATAGTTTTGAGCCAAAAATGTACCGTGAGGGTATTTTTGACCCAAAAATGCAGCAAGAGATTAATATGACCTATTTTAAATAGTTCGGAAGTATTTTTGCCCTATTCCCTTTCTTTTATTGGTCTCTCAACTTAATGTTGAATTTTCTTTCTATTAATGATTAATGAATATTGAATACTTATACTCTTTATTTCTCGTGTATATATAATAACTTTTTGTTTAATATATATTACTATCTCTTCTCTTATCATCAGAGACTAATGATAGCAAATCTTTTTATTTATTGAGGGAAAATTCTGATTCATCATAAATAATATATCATAGTGAGGTCACTCTAATAAAAAAAAATACAAAAAATAATCATCAATTTTGATTGCAAAACCCCCCACTTGTGTGGCACTCAAAGAATAGCTTAAGCATTAGATTATGTTATTATTATTAACTCACTATAAAGCTAAATAAATAAATGGTTCTAATAGCAACAAGCTTAAGGAGCACTTCTTTTATTTACTTGGGGGAGACTTAGTGAATTTGTTTATCGATCAGTTCGATACGATTTTAAAAATATTTAAATTTAATATTTTTTTATTTTACATATATTCTACTCTTTTTAAATCCTATTTGTAAAATTACATTGTGTTCTGTTATGGTTGTAATATGGTTATCATCTCTTTCAAGTCATTCAGAATGGCTTTATATAACTTTAGGGTGTAAGATTATGGTTGTTCACTCTCCTTTTATTCGAGTGACTTCGTATCTATTTTTACTGAGAAAAACTTCCATTAATTTATATCAATTTGGATTTTCCCCCGCCAATATAGCGAGGAAAATCCAAATCCCGAAATATCATTAAGTTATATTAATTTAATAAGATAGTGATTTAAAATCTTATTTTTTAGAGGTTAATCGGGAAATATGCAAGACATTGTATTATTTTTTATTGTATCATTTTCATTTATTATCTTGAATATTTTAGTAGATTTAATGAAATTATCTTATTAAATAATGTTCTATCCCTCTATAACATGTAAAAAGTTAAAATTAAGTTTGGACCCACATAAAATGACTTATACCCGCAACCCGCCCCGCCCCACATTAATTTTATAAAAAAAAAACCACTTCAACCTGCCCCACATTCGACTCGCCTCACCCCCACATAGCCTTAAACTCACCCCATCCCGGCCCGCATCCGCCCCACCCCATTATCATCCCTACCAATAAACCAAATCCTTGAGAACAAGGAAGGATCAGATTTTTATAAACAACTTTTCTAACAGTATTAGGAAAAAAATACATAACTTTAATGTTGCTTTTAGAGGAAAAGAAAAAAAAATCATCTTTTGAATTTCAAATGGGTATATGAGCCCTTAAACTAAGTGAAGATGTTAGCCACATATTTGACAAAAATTAGACCCAAAATAAACATTGTTGTAAAGATCCATTGATTATGTTGAGCACTTAGGAATACATTGATAAGCATATTACAACAACCACTTTCTCCCCACCAATTTCTCTTACTGTATATAGAGAATCAAATACCAAAAAAATTTACTAAAAGTTGTCTACTAAGCTCCTTCCCCCCCCCCCCCTTTTTTTTTTTTTAATGTTTACAACAACAACAAAGGAGGGTTACACGAACAAGACTAAGATAGACCCTCGGCTCAGAAAAAACATTTCAAAGATGGTTGAAAAAAGAAATTGCGGAAGTAAAGAGTTTTCACCTAAGTAAGAACTTATAAAGCATAACTAAGTCTAGAAAAAATCACCCACACCAAGTATACTTGTACTAAACTATATTAATTTACAAAAATTAAGCATTAATTTAAAGTGAAACTATTTTAATTGACTATTGCTAGTCATAAAGATGCATTTAGGGGAGAGTATCAGCTAGTGTAAACACCTCATGTGTGTGAGTGTTTTTTCAACTTAATCCGACCACAAATTAAATAGGACGACGGTATATGATCAGGAGGTCATGGGTTCGAGCTGTGAAAACAAAAGCAGGGCAAGGTTGCGTACAATAGACCCTTACGGTTTGGCCTTTCCCCAAATCAATGTATAGCGAGAGTTAAGTTCACCGAGCTGCATGCGTACAATAGACCCTTATGGTTTGGCCTTTCCCCAAATCAATGTATAGCGAGAATTTAGTGCACCGAGCTGCCTTTTTTAGGAGGATTTCTCTGAATAATGTTGGAATGGACCTAAATCAGACAATGAATATATAGGATTATTATATAGCTGGCCTCCACTAGTTTGAGATTGGAGCAAAATCTATTTTCTTAATTGTGAACTCAAAAGATGGGTTTGGTTTGTTATATAATTGAACTCAATATTCAATATGGATACAACCACTTCTTCCGGCCATTAGGTCTTCTTTTTAAAAAAATTGTGATGTCCGGGCTAACTTTCTCTCACCTTGACTAACTCCTCGGGATATCTGTCACCTCCCACCAGCACAAGTTACCAAATTACTTGGTCCATCAAAGCAAATCGGGAGAAATCACCTAGTATTTTTTATCGCTGTTAAGACTTGAACACCTGAACCTGAGACTTCATGGTTCTCAACCCACTTCATTGATTACTAGGCCACATCTTTGGGTGCCTATTAAGGTATTTTTGTGAAAAATCAAAACATTATTTTTGGTTCATGGCTCCGGAGAATATCAAAGCATTGCTACGATATTATTTCACTCATGTCGGTCCTTTCTAGTTCATCACGCATTAGTACAGTTTATTGATCCACACATCTATACTATTCTTTGTTTGTCCAAGAAGTAGGACCATTAAATGAATCAAAAGAATAACTACAACTATTACGATTCAGTCCCAAACAATTGAAAGAAGAACTACAAGCTCAAATCATATGCATTGCACTTCTCATAACATGTACTTCAAACTAGGCAAGATTATGAGCATAAACTACAACAGCATAATGATAAGGAATCAGACATATCTAGTAGAAATATAACACCTATAGAAACTCCAAAAGCAATATGAATTCGGGTACACATTTACATAGATGATTTAATGACTAGATTCACCGAGTTTGACTTGTAGTGAATTAAGGTTTAGAATCCTCGGGATACTAGTGGTAGTTGAGATGCAAGGTCTACATAAATAGTTTTCATTCAACAGTAATTCCTACCCTCTCCAAACCCTACTTTATGGGATTATACAAGAAGATCATTCAAAAGGAGTGTGTTTCCCATTTAAAAGTCGTTCAAAAACCAGACGACGTCAGTTTCTTTCAACATTTTTCTCCACCTTCAAAATAAAATATAACTATCAAGTTCTCTTCTTATTTGTGGCAAAAGAAGTGCAGAAAACAAAAACATAAAAAAAAGGCATAATACATAAATAGACACTCACTCTTGGCCTCAACGGGTAAGTAAGCGCTAAATACGCATCTAGACACTTCAACTTGGTCTCAACTGACAACTAAACAATCCAACTCGTCCCCGCCGTGTCTCAAGGAGACCCGACGCTGACGTGTTTTAGAGGTTTCTAGATGATCATTAAGTGTTCAATTGGTGAAGATGAGCTGACGTATCTAGATGATCATGCTCAAAGTTGGAGTACTTAATTTCCAGTTAATGTCAAGTTTGAGTGTTTGTTTATGTATTATGCCCGATCGAAACTTGTTCTAGTAAGGAAAAGAAAGTACCAGTGAGTGATGCAGGAGGTGGAATAGGTGACTGCAACCTTATAACGATCTGCCACCAGCAGGTAGGGTGTTAAGTATACTGATATTATATATCCTTATGAGGTGGAGAAAAGAATACTATGTACCTTTGTCTTCTCATTTCTTCCTATAAAGTCACACAATTTTTTCCCTCTGGTGAGCTCTTTTCCTGCCCATAAAAGTTGCACTGTGTTTTCTTCAAGAATTTGCAAGTCTGTAGAATCATGTATTCAACCATAATTGCTAACTGTTTTGAGTTTCACTTGAAAAAGCTTGCAGGACAAATATCAAGTGGAAACAATAATAACAAATTGTAATATTCACTTGTTCACTTGAGATGTTTAAAAGGCTTCACTTTCATTTGCCCAGAGATCAAATAATCAAATGGTTCAGAAGCTTTAATGTTTTTTTTCTTTTTGGAGAAAAAGGGTAAGTATCTAGAAGCTCGTCATCAAACTGAATTTTTTCATAGGAAAATAAACAAGCAACTGCATCTCTTCCTGAACTTGTTACTAAAAGTATATTTGCAGCCTCAAATGATTATGTCTCGATCCAGAGGTATGAAGAACAATGGAATTACTTACCAACAATAACATGTAATCATGGAACTTGAAATAAAGTCACGATGACTATAAACTCATAAAATCTCAAACAAGAACGCTTGTCCTGAACTTTTATATATTGAACGAAAGCGTATAAGACACAGGAGGCTGAAATAAGTGATTGTGAACATACCTGACAAGAATTGTTGTAAATTGGAACTTGATAATCCCATTACTGAATGCGTTACCAAATATTCCTTCTCAATGTTTCTTGTGTGATTTCTTAGCACATAAAGTGATAGAGGTTTGTTATGTATAACCTGATCCTGTAAACCATTTCAATGGACAGAAACAAATGGAACATATCATACATCATTTGAAGCACCAAATGTAAGGATGCAAAGCATTGCGAGTATTTGCTCACCTAAATCTATGAGTTGCTCAAACTATTAAAAAAAAAAAAAGTTCATGATATTACTATACTAATTACATAACTAGCATTTCAGAGCAAATGATAGAGAAATAATGAATTTAAACTATTACAGAAACAGACCTTTGAAGCATACGACGTAGCTTCGGAGAGAGCTCTCACCAGAGACATAACTGCATTGACAATTTTAATAGTTAAGTGCAACTTCAACTGATAATCATGGGTATGACACTATTAGCATTAATGATTGTAAAAAACTTTTGATTGTATTTACCTTTAGGATCGCTAAGCTTAGAGAAATAAACCTCAAATTTCAAGGGTTAATTTTTCGAAGCGAAAGCTTTAACTACTTCAACTCATCGACATTACTAGCATTTTGATTGTAAATACATTTAGGATCACCTTAAAGCATAGAGACACTAAGATCGCGAAGTAAGCTCCTTGCGTCGCTAGGAGAATGCAAAGAAAGACTTAGAATGATTTGATAAGTTTGGAAGAAGGGCTTTTGTATTGCTTGGAGAATGTTTTCCAAGTTGACTGATGCCTTGCAAATGAATGGCACCTCTATTTATACGACAACCTACAGGCTAAAATGTAATTTAAAATCACTTTACAAGTCTCTAAAGTATTTAGACTTAGCTCTCTCTAGACTTTGCGTAATCTAGAATTTTCCAAAGCTTTCTTGAAATGTTAGGGGTTCTAGAGTTCTCTACAACTCTAGATTCTTCCGCCCCTATTCGAATGCAAAATTTGATTGGCAAAGTGGCGGGACATGACATAAGGCTCGAATTTCAACCATTAATTTTGCGAAGCGAAAACCACAAGCAACTTCAACTAATTAATGATTATTTCCACATTACTAGCATTTTGATTGTAAATACCTTTAGAATAGCTTAGAGAGATAAAACTCAAATTTCAACTGCTAATTTCTCAATCGAAATTATAACTACTTCAACTAATCCATAGTTATTTCGACATTACTATCATTTTGATTGTAAAAACCTCTAAGATTGCCTCGAAGCTTGAAGATAAAGCTCGAATTTCAATATACACAACTTCAACTTATCAATGATTATTTCAACATTACTAGAAATTATGATAGTAAATACCTTTAGGATCGCCTTGAAGCTTAGAGAGATGAGACTCGAATTCGACAGCGAAGCATTGAATCTTCGATTGGAGATTCGCTATTTCGATTATGTCTTTGGCGATTTCATCAATTGTTGAAGACGTTTCAGTGTCGTAGAGAAACTCGCCGTCGCCGTCGCTGCCGCCGCCGTGCTTCACATGTATGCGCACCATCTTCGAAGCCTTAGCAAGTGAACTCTTTATGCTCAATTTTTTCCTTTTGAATTTGCTTTACATTTGCAAATTTTTTGGACTATCTATTTCTCTATTTATACTAACACACTTTTTCCGGTAAAAATCCGACACGTTTCTATTTCGACACAGTAACGAATAACTATACTCTCTAATTTTTAATGTGCACATGTATATACTTAAACTATTATAAAAATTGAACAAGTAGACGTAAATGTACAACATGGCATAATACACGTAAAATATCATATAGGATACACAATTGTCATGTAGGACGAATGTGTTGCTCAATTTTATACAAGTTTAAGTGTCTACTTGTACGCACCCAAAGTCAAAGGTCATAGTTATCAATTGACGTCAAGTCAAAGGTCATATTTATGTATTATATATATCTTTCTTTTGAAACCGAGACATATTAACTCTGTTTAGGTATTAGGGAGGCGAGGAATTACTAAAACTTTGGTAAGTATTAATTCCTTGATCTCAATTTATATGACAATAACTTTCTCGGTCAATAAATACAGTGCAATTCCACAAGTAGCATCTTGAAAAGGATACAATATAGACAGGCGTTATCCACCTTTATGAAATAGCGGATTGTTTCTGATAAACTTTCAAAACAAAATTTCGGAAGTGTTGCTACACAAAGTGGTAGATACCATAGAAATTGATAACTTTATGAGTCTCTTTTTTTTTACATATACATAATCTTTCCCATTATGGATCAATGGGAATATATAGATCCCAATGCCAAAAATTACAATCTACAGTTCCATGAGTTAAGCTTAGAATTATACATCATCACCATTGTTCTGGCTCGGGACAGAAGCCTTATTCGTTGACACGACGATACGCGTAAACTGGAACCTCCCTTCCAAATATGAACAGATGAAACATCTTCATTTGAAACTTGCAGTTCCCTCCAGGTGCAAGGGGTGTTCATCGGTCTCTCCAGAATTCGTGTTTCGCTACATACAACACCAGAACAGTTTCGTTCCCTCATCACAGGGCGTAAATCCTGTCAATGTCAGAATTAGAGAACTCAGAGTGGTACCATGAGTTGGAACCACTTCTAGCATGTTTTTCCTTCTTCCTTATCGATCTTTTCTTCCTTGATCTTACGACATAGTAAGTCATGGTTCCAAGAACCCCGGCCATTATTATTCCCCCTACTGCTGTTACCAATATTGCAGCCCATTCATACTTGCGACCGACCACTATATAAGAAGATGCCATAAAAGCCACTGAAGTGCAGACAGAAGCCAACCACATCAATTTGTTAATCACCTCGACGACTTTTCTTTCTGCCTTAGTTTCTCCTCTAACCAATGTAATCTGAACTACGACAACAGCAAGAGATGTAAAAAGAGCAAGGGCGTTGAAGATGAAGAAGATCTTAAATGAAGCAGTGCTCACAACCACAGCCACTCCATGCTCATCATCACCTCCAGGCACAGTGAAAATAGCAGCAAAGGCAACTGTGGCAAAGAGAACAGCAACGACAGTCACAGAATTCGTTGCATTATTAATCCCTTCTCGATGGAGCTTTCTAAGCTCTTTAGCAATTCCGTGGACATTTTTATTTGTCCTTTTAGTTTGTTCAAGCTGTGTGTGAATGTCTTTCTTGATCTGACTGACAGTTTTCCTCAACTCATCCCTTGGTTGGTTCAATTCATTAGCTCTAACAGCTCCATATTTGTATAAACATTCCTTTATTTCGGAGGATTCTTCAGAGAGGGGAAGATCTTCAGCTATGTCAAGAGCTGTTTTGTGATCTCTGTTCAGTGCATTAACATTACTATCAGGCAGGCGTAGCAACTCTCTGACTATCTGCACGACAAAAGTTTTAAATTGATTATCAATCACAATATCACTGTATATAAGAGGTGATAAAGGCACAGACAGATCTTAAAAGCAAGAAGGGGAGTGGTTCAGGTAGCACAAAAGAATAGATATCATGCAGTATTTCATTATAAGGATGAAACAATGTGGCCACGGACCATGATTATTGTAACAATAGAACACATGGTGATCCAAATTTTGTATAATCTTAGAGACATGCACCAACAACCATTCAAGAAACCAAATTTAACAATTAACATTTTTTATTACAAAAGAGAAACATCAGATTTAAGAATAAAACGCAATATTAAGTTTGTGTCATGCTTTGCAGCACACCATGCATTAGGAACAGAGAACAGTAGAGGAATAGTGATGTCGTATTTGGTGTGAGGGATGGGGTTAAACACAAAAAAATCATGTTTGAGTAACAGATTATATACCTCAGCACGCTTTTTCCGGGTTGCTATGTGTAATGCTGTGTTGCCAAACTTGTCCGGAAGCATAACTATAGCAGCATCAGCCTCGAGAAGCAATATCACCACCTCACAGCTGATTCCCTTTACAGCCATATGCAATGCAGTTTGTCCTTTCTTATCCGTCCTCCTGGCCAATTGTGGGTCTCTGTCAAGCAAAGCCTTCACAATTTCCACGTGCCCTTGTCTGGCAGCTAAATGCAATGCATTTTTACCATTGGACCTAGAAATTTCCAGTAAGGTGCAATCCTTTGACAGCAGTTCATTGACCACTGCAATATGTCCTCTTGAGGCAGCAGTTATAAGAGGGGTTGCATTTGAAGGGCCAAATGTTTTACTTAGTCCGGTATCATGCTCTAAAAGCAATTGGACGATTCCTGTCATAAGAACGCAAAAATAAGTCTCTGTCCAATAATTAGTATCTTCTGGCACCATGAAACTTATCCATCTTCAATATTTTACTGAACTGTAGAGTTTTTTCCTAAATGTTTACTGCATAATTCTCCACACACATTTTTGGCAATTTCAAGGTTGCAGTAGGTCAGTTCAAAAAGTTTGAACCTTCAATATCAACCAGCATCAGCCCTACTGAGACTGAAGGCATGATATTCTAAAACAAGATCTCTTCAAGGTTAATACCCTCTTTTGACAAGGGGTTGGATAGGGGGGTGTTCGGGTTCAAATCAGAATTTAGTTTAGACATAATACATAAACAGACACTTGAAGTTGGTCTAAATTGACAACTAAGAACTCTAACTTTGACTATGCACATCTAGACACCTCAACTCGTCTCCAATGTGTCAGTTGTATGCTCCAACTAACCAAATGATCATTTAGACACCTTCAATGATAAGTAAGACCAAGTTGAGGTGTCTACACGTGCACTGTCAAAGTTGGAGTGCTTACTTGCCAGTCGAGCCCAAGTTTGAGTGTTTATTTATGTATTACGAAGCTACGACTGGTTTTTAAAATTGCAAATTCATGGCATACTTACCCTTCTCAATGTAAAGTAAAACAAGTACACTGTCAAATCTTAATAGGTTTATGGGGGGGAGATATAACTTGGTTAGCAATTTTTTCAATCTTCCAGCCTCTTGTAAACTAGATCCTTCATCTCTCCATATCAGAAAAGTTAACAAGCTGAGTTTAAGCTGCACTGTAAAGGGATAAATAAGTAAAATGATCAAGAAATCTAAGATCCTCACCATGGTGTCCTTGACTTGCAGCTATATGCAAAGGATCAAATCCTGACCGATTCTTCTTAGTAACAGTATCCTTGTTGCAGTACTTCAATAATTCTTTCAATACCTCAAGATATCCCTTCGCTGCTGCTGTAAAGAGTGCTGTCTCTCCTAATTCATTCACTTCATTCACTACGGATGCTCTGATCTCCGCGACCTCTTGATTAAAGTCATCGCCGCTCAGCGTCCCGACCATTTGACTATCAATGTCATTAAGTATCTGCTTCACTGCTGCTAGATCACCTTTCTGAGCTGCTAAATGAAGCTCAGTGTCATTGTGCCTTCCCGTAACCTGTTTTACATATTTCTTTTTCCCTGCTTGGTCAATTCTCTTGCCAGAATTGGAAAGCACCAGAGCTGGTGCTGTTGCGGAAGATGGAGATGGGGTTGGTGATGGCTCAGCTAGAGGGTTATGGCTTGGTGTTGGAGTAATCAGTCCTTTCTCGACATCTCTCTCACCTAGTACAAGCACAAACAGAACTAGTCAGCAAATAAGAGTAGCTACTCAGTATTAAATAATCAAGAATCAGGTCGTAATACCACTTATAAATATACAACTCCATCATGAAGTCTTCAGAACTAAATACAATTGAAGCATAAGAGAACTTGTAAAGTTTATTCTTATCCATTGAACAAACTTCAATTTTCCTTAAAAAAAATTCAAATTGTCACCTAACTGGCTGTTCTTAGAATTTTTTGATACCGTTCCGTCCAGGACAAGTTTCGCACACCACCACTAATTCCACGAGATACCTAACAGCTACCACACCTCCCAGCAACAACATATACCAGATAACTTTGGCCCAATTTCAAGGATTGATATAGCTTTCCTCAACTAGTTTCAGATCGAGGTACAGTAATACATATTGTCATCTAATTAATATGAAAAATCACCCCATAGTAAATCGTTCAAGTTATGTACATATGCAAGGTACAACTCAGCTGAGTGTCTATCGAAAACAACGTTTCTACCCCCACAAAGGTAGATGTAAGGTTTGTGTACACATCGTACCTCTCCAGACTCCACTTGTGTGATTACACCGAGTATGTTGTTGTTGTTTGCAAGGTACAAACTCAATGAGATAAATCTCTACTAAGAAATAACCATATACTTAAAACTAATAAACCAAAATTAAAAACTCAAATTCCCCCAAAGAACCATTTTTTCTACATATATATCTATAATTCAAAATACCCATATGCTAAAAACTATATCTCCAGCTAATAAAGCAAAAAAAAAAGAGTATATACTGATAAATCCATGGATAATTTCTTCTTATTTAATTAAAAAAAGAACCATTTTTTCTCCATATTAATCTCTATTGTTAAATACCCAGATGATTAAAACTATATCTTCAGCTAATATAGCAAAATCCAGCTGAAACACCCATATACTTGTAACTAAATTTTGAGCTAATAAATCAAAAAAAAAATAGCTACTGATAATTTGATGATCAATGAATATATATATATATATATATATATTTTCAAGTTTTATGGAAAATATAAATATGGGGTTAGATTTTACCTTCTTCCACAGGAGAAGCCATAGAAAGGGGAAAAAAATTAATTTCAGAGAGGAATTGAAGTAAACGGAGAGTCAAGAAAAATGAGAGTTTTTATCAGATTTGAGAAATGAGAAAAAGGGGAAGTGTAAAGGAAAGTGGAAGATGAAAAAGAATAAAAACATATTTTAAATGAAAAAAAGAAAAAAGAAAAAGAACTAAAAGACAATTTAGGAAAGTGATGAGAAATAACAAATTGAAAATGATTTTCTTTATTTTATTTTTTCTCATGTCAAAAGAATCAATAATTATCTTTAAAATGTGATTCTAAGATAATAATTAATGTGATAAGACTGTATCGAAAGTGAATTAATAAACTTGAGATGATTTTTAAAGAGTAGATTTTAAGGCTATATTCATAGTTAAATCATTCGAGAATTTTGTCCCTATTAAGTCTAGTATCTATTTTAATTACATAATAGTTGGTGAAAATCTCGAGCTCTTTCATAATCGATGATAAAGATTTCAGATTCTGTTATAACGATCGTTACGTGAGCTTATTAGAACTAGTTACAATACTTGATGTTTGATTTCATGTTTTTGAAATTGAGTCAGTTTTATAAACGTGACATCGGTTCATGTGTAGAATTATCCTCAACAATTACTGAGGATAACATTTGATTACTGTTCATGCTAAGTCACATTTGAAGGCATTAGAAAAATAATTTCGAAGATAAAACTTTTTATAAATATTTAATTGATCGTATTAGAAAAATAATATCTCTAAATCAGAACACATAAATTAAAATAGTGTTGCTTGTGAACAAGCTATTTTGAAATTACTATACAAAATTATAATATAAGAATTATAAATAGTGATAAGATTTTTTTTTTTTTCATAGAGAAAAAATAAAATATAGGGATATATCATATTTGTACTATGAACCACACATTCACTTTTTAAAATAATAAATTTGGATAATTTTATTTTCAATGGAATAAACTTATCTCACTCTTAAATTTAACATTAAAATTTTTTTATAAATAAATAATTTATATATAATTATATTTTCTTTATCAATTATCATGTAAAGAATTTGTTCATTATAATTTATAATCTTCCTTAATTAATATTCTGATACTAAATATTCCTCTTTTATATGGACAGAAATTAAAGCTTTTTTCTAAAAATAAAAAAATAATAATTAAAAAAAAGCTGGCTCTATTGGTCAAAATAGACGGCCAGCAACCACTAAATTCATTTTTCGTTTTAGTTTATATATATATATATATATATATATATATATATATATATATATATATATTTCCTTCTTATTTTTTTTAAAAAAAAGTAGGGAAAATTGTATGAAATAAAAAATTGTTAATTCAAATTAAATGTTATAGCTATAGTTTCTTTTATTTGTAATTCGCAACAAACATTTCATATTTTTTGTCGTTCCATTCATATGCCAAAATATATAAATAGACTCGTTCGATATACAAATGGATTGTATAAAAATTAATTGCAGGATTCATTTGTATATCGAAATTTTCAAATAGATACATTTGGTATACATATGTGTTGTATATACGTAGTAATTTTCTTTATAAACAATTACTATGTTTTAATTTGTATATCAAAATATACAAATATAGATTTTTATGTATATGTATATATATGTAGTAATTTTGTTTATATACAATTATTATGTTTTAGTTTGTATACCAAAATATACAAATACAGATGTTTATGTATATGTATATAGAAAATACATGTTAATAGCCATAGCAAATATAAAGTTTGCTATGGAGCGCAATTAACTATAATTATAACATACAAGTATAATTTTTATGTTTGATAAATCTAAAAATTTACTCAAAAAAGTATGATAATGGAGATATTCAAGAAAGTAAACATTTCAATTTTGAGAGCGTACATCTAGACACTTCAAATGACAACGTCGGTTTCACAATATCTTGTGGACAATCGATATGTTGACATGACACATAAATTTTAAACGTATCCATATGATCATTTTGTAATAAGTTGGAGGTTTTCGACTGTCTACTAATATAACGAAGACAAATTGAGGTGTCTAGATGTGTATATTCAAAGTTAAGTCGAGACCAGATTTGAGTATATATTTAATTATTTATGTATTATGCCTATAAATAATATTTTATTTATCTCAGTTTTTGTGAAAGAACTTTTAAAACGTATAATATAACTTAAATAATAAATATTTATTCAATTATAAATCATGTTAGTGAGATAAAATAAAAGATTGGACATTCAATTAATATTTACCATTTATAGCAATAACATTTTTTTCACCTTATCACTTTTAATACATTTATAATACACTTTTATTTCATATTACAAAAAACCAATTATTATTCACATATAATACAAGTTTTTTGATGGATAATGCATTTATCACACATTTTAAAACACTTATAATACAATGTATCAACTTCTTACCAAACAAGCATAATATATTTTTAAAAATAGTTATAATATATATATATATATATATATATATATATATATATATATATTGCATACTTAATTCACTTTGTTTAACATAGTATTGCTATAAATTGTAATAAATAAAAGGTATCGCTAAAATCCGTAATTATTTGTTAAAACGTTTTCATTGAAGTAATTTTTCCTAAAAAGAAGTTAACTTGTCCATTGGGCCGATTTTATATAATGAAAAGGGGGAAAACGAGGCCCAATAAAATATTGGGCGACCCAATAGTGACCGGCCCAAATAAAACAAAAAGGAAACAACAACACATGATAATATTTTTCTATGATTTATTTTTTAATAATTCGACAAACATTGGTTAATATTTTAAAGAAAAATGAGCAAAACATAACCAAAAATACTTTTGTTACACATTCAACATTATTTCCATTTTATTTTCATCATCTAGAAATCTGACTAATATCGAGTTGACTATAAGTGTTATCCAAAGCGAAAAGCTTTTAACAACATTTTGAAATCTAATAGGACTTTTAAGCGCAAATCAAAGTTAAAATGTGGACTTTACTTTTAAAATGAGCAACAAAGAAATAAAGTAACAATATATTTGGTAATGTTAGGAAAAATGTTTTCCTTAACAATTAGTAAATAAAATTTACTATAATTAGTTAATTTTGCTCAATTCAAGATAGAACTCATGGACAATTTATATGTGATAGAAGGTGGAACGGATTTCTCTCCAATCTCCTTTCGCCCGTTCACTCAGTACTCAGTAGCAGAATCAGACGCACAATTTACTTATTATTTATGAAGAGAACTTTTTAGTGTTGAAAAATCAACAATTTGTACTCCATGTTGCACTGACCTTTTCAAAAATATTGTCGCATCAGTATCAAATCCTTCAATAATATACTACTTTCGACAATCCATACAACATTTATTAGTTTAATACTTCTCGATTCAAAATAGAACTCACGGACAATCAAGCAATCAATTTACTTATTCTTCAAGGAGAGAACTTTTCGTATTGAAATCAACATCTTGTTGTCTATATTGCTCGAACCTTTTCAAAAACACATTACTTTCAAGAATCCAGTAACATTTTTTAAAGAGTCCGAGCAACATACAGTACGTTAAATACACATTATTTAAGAAATACATTGCCAAACACATGAATTTGGCAATGATGTTGATGATGACAATATTAAACTCCTTGACCTAACATTTTCATGAAATAAATCAGACAAACAATTCCCAATATTATCTGGTGAAAATTTTACTAACACCTCCAAATCTTTTTCCCCACTCAAAACTACCATATAGTACTCATAAAAATCCCTATAAAAAGGCACCAATTTCCTTGCAATCGATACTTTGATCTCGTCTCGTAGAGTCCCATCAGGTACAACCCACGATTTCTGTCTCTGATACGTCGCTTCAAACGATTCATTAAATCGTTTGAAATATTCCTTAATCGTATCAGAGGAAATCGCGGGATCTAAACTCTGAGGCAAACACATAAACACCTTATTCCAAGCTACATTTTCGTATTTTGTTGTATACAACTTTACCTTTCTCTCCAAATTCAATATCCATTCCTCTCCCAATATTATCGAGAGGTTACTTCCACGTACCCTCTCGATAATGAATTGGATATTGTTAGCTAAGAAAAGATAGGATAACGCGATGTCATTGTACAACTCTGCTTTGCTATCGAGTTTGCAAAGCAGAACGAGTACAATCCAGGCCATTTTACCAGAGACTGATGAAATTTCGGATGTTTGACTCTCGAAATAAGTTTCAGAGAATTTCGTTGACGTAGATTCAGAAATAATATCTGAGAGCACTCCACTGTAGCTTGCTAACGAAGCTAAGTAGTCCGAAACAGAGATGGTTAATGGATGAACTCCGCCACCAGAAACTGTTGTTTTCGATGAATTCCTCTGTATTGAGAGCTCGAAATCAGAGAGGATATTTAAAACAGAGATCTTAAGTTTATTTAATAAAGAAATAGCTTGAAGTTTGACAGATGAGATCGAATCAAACGAAAAGATTGATTCGATCTGTGGCAATAGTTCAGCTATTGCTTCGTGCAAATCGATTAAAACGAAAATCTTTTCATCTGATTTCTTCGTCTTTGCAACGATCTCAGGAAGTTTAAGCAAAACGATCCCGCCTTCTTTGGCTACATCACTAAAACATGTTTCATTGATTGTTTTCGAGTTTGAAAAAACGTGATCACAGAGAAGCCTCTCTCCATAGAAGAGTGTTTTCACCGCCATTTTAGTTGAATCGATCCAATGCTTAACTTGATGCTCGAGATCATTTGGTCTCATCGCGTTGACATAAGCTGAGCTACGCGATTCAATTCCAAGACGATACAATCCTTCATCTACGACAGATTTCCTGATGATCCTGTAGATCTTCCAACACTCTTTTGCATAGCCACACCCAATCATACAATCCGCGATCATTTTGAGATCACACATTGTTAGAAATGAAATGTGTTCAGCCTCGGAATTGGATCCAGCACCATTCTGCTGAATGGTGCTGGATCCATTTCCGAGGTCAGTTGATTCTTCTGAATCAACTGAAGTTGACCTCGATGTATGTGAGGATCGACTAGACTTGGATATTGATTCGGGATCCAAATGTTGCTTTTTTGTTGACAAAATTTGGTAAAATTCATTTTCAAGTCTTTTCATAGCCTTTTGCATCAAGTTTTGTGCAAGTACAAGTTTGTTACAAGTTGAATGTTGTGTAACAAAAAAATGCATAGCTTTTTTCAAGTCTTTGACACATTGGATGTATGCTTTGGCTTCTTTTCTATCTTCTTGGAAGAGTGAAGTGAATTTTTCGTGAGACGATTCTTTATGATCCCATTTTTTGATAATAGTGGACGCGTTATCAATATGTTCTTCCATGATAGATCGAGAGAATGTTAATGAAGGTTCATGAGGAGGTATATGACTAGAAAAGGAAGAGAGGGATGAAGTGGTTTTCGCGAAAGAGAATAGGCTCTTTTTGGCTCTCTGTGGTGTCGATGGTGATGATGGTTCTCTCTTAGACATGTCAAGAATCGCCATTTTGTGAAAAAAAAATAATATTCTTTTTTGTATCGAAACGAAAGAGTAATGATTATTGATCTTGTAGTGAAGAAAGATATTGTGAATATTTGGTGTAGGAATAATAGAGTTATGATAAGAGAGTTTAAATAGAAGAGGGAAAAATTTATTTGGTACACTAAATGGACTTGATAAAGACTTGAGATTTTTTTTATTTTTTTTTTGAAACTTTGAGGTAAGAAAGAGACAATATACAGCTGGATTTGTTGACAATTGCATATTCTAAGAGTATATTTTTCTTTTATTCTGATGTCCCACTTGGTGTTCGATATCTGTATGAGAGTTTGACTAATTCAGATTCGTGAATTGGAGGGCCCTCGTTTCTGGAAATGGCGCTTTAAACATGATTTTCTTTTTTCATTTTGAAAACTGAATCTGAAATATCTGATTAAGAGTAGAGAAATCTCAACCGATTAATTTTTAAGTCCTTGATTTGAACTAAGATATTGTTTGACAAAACTCTACCAAAATTATTAAAATAAAAATTTTAGATCCTTAAGATGAGGGTTGAGTTGGGCATTGAATTTGACTGGTCATCTTAATGTATGGATACAAATCAATTCTAAAGTCTATGGTCTTCCTAATCTATGATTACAAATCCAAAAAAATCCAATAGTCTATGGTTTCATTTTAAATTAGATTTTTTTTAAAAAAAATTAATAGATCGATGCACAAAGTTTTCGGTATGTGTAAGTTTGATGAAGGATCGAATCAAATTGTATATTATAATTTATACGTAGTCTTACTTTGTGTTTCTACAATAATTTTTTTTCCTATAGTTTGAACTCATGACCAACAGGTCGTTGACTGCAACTCTTAATATTGCGTTAAGGATTCTCTTGTCCATTGTATATGCTTATAATGCCTTAAAGTTGTTGTTTTAGATCTAGAGAAATTTAGAGGGTGTTTCGATAAGCGATATGTTAATCAAACTGATTTATATAAATATCTTTGATTTACGTATAATGTTTATGAATGAAAATCGTTCGAAGCTATAATTTAATCACTCCTACCTTATGGCTTTTTTCAATTTATAATTTGATCAAGATTTTCACTATTGTATCTTAGACTAGGGGCAAACCTAGCTTCTAAGTTATCGATTCACGTGACATAATAATTTTATTCAAACTATGTGTATATATTAAGAAATTCATTAAATCTTAATATATTTTTAACTGTAAAATCTCATACTTATAATATATATTTATCTGAACAAATCGATATAAAAGCTATAAACTTTAAATTCTAATTTCGCGTGAGTCATTGACCTCTCATTTCTTCCATGTCAAGCCATCTCTTTTCCATTAGATGTTTCCACATTTTTTCATGGAATTTTAGTATATGTTCTATATTCACATATTAAATAGAAAATATGAAAAAAATATCCACTTTATTTTATTTTTTATTTTCCTATTTTCTAAGATAATTTAATTAGTTTGACTAAGGAAACAACCTAGAAAATGTTGAATGTGGGTTGGTATTATGGTTTTTTCAGTTGTGACCATTTCATCATGGTCCATATTACCTCTATATTCTTCCTAAAATTGTACCTTTTTTTCTTCAAATAAATTAATCTTTAGTTTTTTTTCTTCAGATGAATTATTTTTTTTAATTTTCACGATTTATCAGTTGAATTTATGCCTAGTAAAAAATAAATTCTTTAAAAACTAAAATCATTATATAACTTGTGAAATACGATGCAAGAAAATAAAAAATTATATTCAAACAAAAAATTATTTATTATCAAAGATATAAATTAAAGATCGCGATAAAAAGAAAAAGCGAATAATTAACCACATATTCTTTTTTATTTTTTCAGTTGGAAAATATTTATCTTCTAGATAAAATGGGCTTGTTTTGTTTTTTTTCCAAATGATATAAGTGTACATTTTGTTATATATATATATATATATATTTTTTTTTTTGTCCTTAATAGCAATAATTATATTTTGAATAAATAGACTATATTGACTAACTAATTTATATGGTACATAGGTGCACCTTTAACTATAAAACGACTTTCAGTTCATTAAAATGACTTCCAAGTGGAAATTACAGTCAAATTGCTTATTCCATTAAAGCTAATAATTTATAATGTTGGAAAAATTATTTTCAAAGAAAAAATTTATTTCGTCTTTAATCGAGGTGTGACTTAGTAATTAATAAAATGGATAAAATTGTGAGTTTTTTTGATTCATTTGCTTAAGTCATAATGGATTGAGTTATATATTTGGTATATGTGTTGGGTTGTGCACAAACCTCTCAATACGGGCAAAACTAGGTATATAGGATTGAGGGGTCATCTAAATCTCTTTCAGTGTAAAATTATTTTATTTGTACATTATTAGAGTTATTTTATATATATCATAAGTTAAGTCTGGAGTACTAGTTCGGAGCCAAAATTTGCACTGATAAAGAAAGTTCAAAATATGAAAAAGCAAACACACAAAGAAGTCGAAAGGTTATATATATATACTATTTTTTCGAACTTTACTTATGATATAATATTAAATATTGTTATTATTGAAAAAATGTTGGTTTGCATTATTTTAATGATGAGGAATCACATGGGCTACGCGTAAACACGTCTATTAATTTGGTTGAATTAGACGAACTTGCTATTTATTTTTAATATTAATATATTATTAGCATGAGTTAGTTTTCTAGTAGATAACTAAATTAACTCATACTTTATTCTGATAATTGCTATCGATCTAATGACTAATATAATACTATTAAGTTGGAAAAAAAATTCTTTTAACGTTACAAAAAAAAAATTAATATTTTGGACCAATTCAATAATTCTTTAATAATGTTAGGCATAAAAGAAGAAAAAAATTGAAGAAAATCTTGAGGGTTTGCACGTATAATACTGAATTAGTCCTTCGGGACCCACAGGAGATGTGTACCTATCGCGGCGTGCGACACGACGTTTGATAAAAAAATTTATCGCGGCGTGCGACATCTCCTTCGAAAATAGAATTCGTTGCACCGTGCAACACGTTCGTCGAATCATGATATATGCCGTGGAGCACGTTTAACGAGTCATAATATCTGTCGCGGCACGCGCACGTCCCTTGAAATGGTACATCCTCTTTGATTTCTTATTCTTTCTCAATTTACAAAACACTTGTCCCAATCATATTTCAGAATCAATGCAAATGACATGTTCACACAAATAATGACGAGATGACTAATTTTCTTAACAATGCACGATTCATGACAACACAATTGTGATACAACATTAGCAATGAATCAATAAGTCTTTCAAACCATTTTCAACACATCTACACGCCAATAATTAATCACATCGCCTCTTATTATCCTTTTTTCATTATTAGAATTATTCAATTTGGACAAGTCAACCCATCACCAAATCACATTGCTCTGCAACACATATATAATACACGACTGTATACATTTAACAAAAGTTGAGAAAGTCACTTGCTTCAGTCGAACAATCACTCTGAGACTTGAGTTCAATTAATATGTCAAGTCTCATATTTCTTATATTCCAAGCTTGGAATTTGAGTTTCAACTCCTCAAATACCATAACTCTAATGAAATAATTTATTTATTATAATACATTTAATATATTTAATTATCTATCTCGATATATCTAAAACTTGAATAATAATATAATATTGTCCAATATTCAACCACAAAAGATAAACCTACACCAACTAACCTATTTCAAGAACCTAAACTATAGAATATTATATCATGTTCCTCTAATCATTATACTATAATCCTAGGAACCATTACTCAATCATCAAATATGAAATTTATCTCCAAGTTTTTAATAATATCAATAATATAATGTTTTTAAAAAAAACGTCAAACCTATATTCGTTCATCCCCATTGTTCTCATATCTAACATACAATATTAATAATAAATTTCTACACCTACATTATTTTGTAATCATTAAGAGGGATAATTACTTAACAATTTCAAATCTCTTTTTAGTATTTTTATGTTTATATCGTGTGCGTAAATCGACATTTAAATTTTTATAAAACTGAATAAAAAAAGATAACTAAATTGCACTAGTTAGTTTCTACTAGATAACTAAATTAAGTCATATTTTATCCTCATAATTGCTCTAATGACTAACATAATACTATATATTTTAGAATAATTTCGTTTGACCGTTACTAAAACAAAATGTATTGGACCAATTCAATAATTCTCGAATAATGTAAGGCATAAAAGACAAAAAAAAAAGTAGAAGAAAATTTTGAGGGTTGCACATAAGTGTGTATGTGATCGGATTAGTTTGAATTTTTTTAAATATTAAATTAGATTATTTGTATAAAATTTTTAAATTTATAAATTAAATTAAACTAAGAAAAAGTTGAGTTTTTTTTTTGGATTTTTTCAACCGCAGATTGGTTTGAATTTTTCAAATACCAAACCAAAGTATTTGTGTCGAATTTTCTAATCAAACCAAACTAATAAATCTCGACTTTTTTCCCAGGTTTTTGGATTTCTCTGATCTAAATTATTAATACAAACATATAATTAACTTGTGCTCCAAATATTTTTCGTAAGTCCAATCAAAATACAACTATTTAAGGTGTTTCTTAAGAAAATAACACAAATATGAGATAAGTGATGACATTAAAATATTCAATAAAAAATAGTAATTTATATAAAATAAATATTGCAAATTCATAATGAAAATAATCATAATTTAAAATTATAACTCATGATAAAATAAGTCTAATAAGTATTAATTACATGATTAAACATTAAAGAAAAACAAAATTAGATTATGCATTTTAAATATCTAAAACAATGTAAAATTAAAGAACAAATATTCAACATTGTTATCATTCTTAGGGTTGAATTGAATTAATTTATTTTGTTAATATTAGTATTGAGTTAATTTCAAATGGAGCTTTATTAGAATTACTAGACTATAACCTTTATTGGACCATATAAAATTCGAAATCTCAAAAACTTGAAAAAATATGTGAAGAGATAAAAAGTTACGAAAACGTATTAAATAATATTTAAAAATTACATCAAAGTAATTTCTTTTATATATAAAATAAATTTTAGATAGTATATATATAATATCGAGTTGGTTCGATCCCAAATAGATCTTTAACAGTTAAAACCAAATCAACCCAAGTATATTTGTATTTCTTTTTCTACTACCAAACCAAATCATTAGGCTATCTTTTTTTATCTAACTTAATTTGCGATTTGATTCAATTTTCAGTTCGATTGTATAAACCCCCAATCATCTAAGATCACAATTTCCATTATTATCCTCCGAAAAAAATGGCACGTCGATGATCACTATAAAATGTTTGTTTTTATATATTCACCACTAATTAATGGATTCAAATCTATGACTAAGTAGCGATAAAAGAGATGTGATTTTTCAATAGATTTTGTAATGTATAAACCAAAATTAAAATATCGACTAATTCTACGCGATACCTAAGAAACCCCAAGTACATACATTAAAATATAATTAATTCAAATTCATATCACATTAGATCTCGGGAGAAGCGATTTAAATCCAAGACCTCGTAGTTAAGAAAACAACTCAATCTAAAGGATTACTTGGCACTCGATTCAAAAT